CTGAATTCCTCCAAACCTAGGATAGTCGGTATGAACCTGAATGCTGGAAGACCTCACGATAAATCAGTGACCTCAAAAAGATAGAAATTATTACCATGTACATACCAAGCTTCTCTGTGACTTCTGCGTACAAGCTCCTTGGCGAAGATTTTATTTTTATTGAACCTGACAACTACTATAACAATATCTTTTACGATTTTAATTGTCCAGGTACTTCGTGGGGATCCAAAGACAATGATGGTAGATGGAATCGGATTATGTCCAACTATAACTAATAAAACCCCAAACTTCCCTCTTATTTTAATAGTACTAGGTGAAAGAGAGGATAAAATCGGGAAAATGTTTTTGTATTCAGCCAAATAGCAGCTCATCGCACCCAATACAAACCACTTATTTGTACTATGAGCAATGTAGTAACACTATCAGAAATGCCATTTAAAAGAGATTTAATTTTAAAAAGCAAATGGGGACAAAAGTGCCTCGAATCTCAATAACTGCATTACTAAAATTTGCCTAACAACAGAAAACTAACATAAATTTATCAACATAGTAAAATATGCTTCTAGAAGATACATTCAACGAAGATGCTGGACTCACGATGTTCAAGAACTAACTCCAGACTCTAATATACTACTTAACCAGTATCAAAAACTATATTTTGAAGACCATTTCAGTGATGATACTAATTGAGGTGGACAAATAATATTTGATATCATTTCAGACGAATAATGATTCAAATGGTAAAATAATGAATAACATGATTATTTTACTTGGAAAGTACATATTTATGAATCTTTGCCAGGCGCCTATTAAAATAAAAAGCAATTCTTCAAATGTTAAAGTAAGCCTAGTGGCCTCACAACTTTTTAAAAATGGCAGAGCACCTGGAAAAAGATGGGACATTGGAGAAACAACTTAAAATGAGAGAGGGCGAAACCAGTTAGCTGAGAGAACTCTTCAATGATGATAAGCTTAGCTATACCATCTATATGATGAAAAATAATAGGTCTTTGAGCATTAACGATCTGCGCATAGAAATCTGCAAGTAGTAAGAAGTTTGGTGCAACAATACTACAATGGCTCCTCCAGATAATAAACAGCTACGTTCAAACTATGCAGATACCCAAAGTCTGAAGACAAACCAAAGTTGTTGCCTTGTAAAGATCATAATGACCTTAAAATTTATCTGGTAATATCTTTACTGTGTCACCTATTCAAAATAATTGAGCGCATTAATACCGCTTATGACACCGTAAATCACTGGAGAATTTTTAAAAAAACTATATGACATCACATTAGACAAACGCACTTGTCATATCCGTGTCTTCCTGCAAATACTAAAAATTTTTCGTATTTATCAATAGTAAGAATATTATATGAAAAATACAATAGAATGGTCCTGTACAAAGCAGTGTAATATTATCTACACTGTACAACATATATACAAACGACCAACCGATACCAGTAGCTACTATGGGACTTTTGTATATGTAGATGATACAACTATTATCGCACAAGCAAAAACTTTTGCCAAGATAATACTAACTGAAGCCTTAAAACAATTAAAATATAATACGAATCAAGCTGTCTTAAGCTAAACCCCGGGAAAACTCAGTGTGCTCCTTCCATCTTCGTAATAGAACTGAATATTGAATGGTGTAGTGAAACCCATGAACACAGAACCTGTACCTTTTTTATCTTCATATTGCATTTCATCATGTTCAGGTTGTTCTGATAGGACGTGTTTTTTTTTTGTTTTTTCTCTAATTTTGTGATAACGATTTACTAAATTGTGTTTGCTTTATATTGAGATTTGTGGATTATACATGATAAACAGGTTTGCATTTCATCCTATATTCTCCCTGATCGTCTCGATTTCTCTTTTGAGATCTTACCAAACTTGTTTTTGGTTTTTTAAGGATGCCAATTGACTATGTGTATGGTCTATCCGAGATTATTGCGACATATGATCGACTCATTGCCACATAAGATTATCCACTCTCTCCAGATTGTCCAAGGTTTTCTTTCAATTTTTTTTATTTTTGACGCTACCTCTTAAAACTTATTCACTAGCATAGCTCTCTCCATAGATCGTTTTATTGATTAGAATTATGCTAAGACTAGGAAACGAGAAGACTTAAATATTCTTGGTTTTAAAATTAAAATACTTTTTAGAGACTTCAGTAGGAAGCTTAGGTTACTAAAAGCTATCCAATATATTACATTACAAGACGTTTTCCAACATGCATTACTTGTATATTATCTGTTATCATGGTTTTTGTTTCAATAAGATTTATTTGGAGTGCTATCGTTACCATATCGCAGATGACTCAGACATCTATTTATTTCAGTGTACCAATCTTCTCACGTATTTAACATATAGAAGATAATTAAGGTATTGTCTATTTATTTTTATTCCTTCATTATTAATAAGAACATTCTGTATTTTAATTTGGAATATTCGTATAATATTTGCAAAATCATTTATATAAAACGGATTTTTTGTTTTCTGGCACTGTCAATATTTTATAGGCCCGCTCTTTAAACATACTAAAAAAACCATAAAAATGAAACACGCCATGCTTCCGACCCCAAAAGCCATTTTGCCAACATAACAATAGATAAGCATGTTCGGTTAGCGTATATATATTCTCCGCAGTGCAGAATTCCAATGATTCAACGTGTCCCCGAGGCTCCATATTTCATCATTAGGCCTCACAATGGTGTAAAGTGGTCATTTGACGTGTAGAACACGGCGAGGGAGGAGGCATCTGTCCCAAAAGAGGACAGCACACGGCACCATGGGGAAATGTTTCTTATATATCAGAAAACATACCTACAAAAGGGTGGAATGACGCACTAGACTTCATTCTTAATAATGTTTTTTGAAAATTGTTTGGGTTTGAGTATACACCTATCAATTAATTCTGTAACAAATCTGAAAAATTGTTAACATAATAATAAAATATACTTAACCTCTATAATGAACCTAATAAAGGGTATTTTTGGTAATATGTAGTATAAATCAAATAGTTTTTTAAAGTTAAACTGATGTATTTTTTATGTATTTTGAAGTAATAATGAATAATTTTAGTATTAAGTTTTCCAATAGCGAGGTAGTGTTTTTGAAATGTAATAGCGGCCATTTTAAATTTGGAAATTATCCAAAAATTTTATGCTAATAATCCTTCTTTTGTGAATACCTATCGTGCATTACGTGAAAGTTATGGACCAAATCATCGTCCTGGTGTGCGTGTAATTCGTCAAAACGTGGAAAAGTTTGAACATAAATTTACTCTGCATGATATGAAACCATCAACATGACGCCAAAATGAAAGAACTCAGTACAATATTGCTGTTGTAAGAGCCAATGTAACGGAGAATGCAAATGTGTCCATAAATCGTCATTCTTAAGAACTAGGACTCATCAGAATGACAACTTGGCGAATTCTGAGAAAAGATTTAGGCCTACACCCTTACAAGATTGTTCCGACTCAAGAACTGAAGCAACTTGACCATCATAAGCGTCGTGTGTTGTTCGCTGATGGGCTTTAGACAAACTCGAAAATGATAGCCATTTTAAAAAAAAAATTTCCGATAAAGCTCATTAAACCCATTTTTGGTTAAACGGCTTTATGAATAAGCAAAATTGTCATTTTTGGAGTGAAAATAATCCATATGAGATTCTTGAGAAGCCTTTGCAGAAAAAATCACTATCTGGTGTGGTTTATGGCATGGTGGCATCATCAGACCTTATTTTTTTGAACATGGTGTAACAGTCAACTGTGAAAGGTATTGAATGATGATAACGGATATTTTGTAGTCTCAGTTAGATGAAATTGAATCAAGCATTGATTTATTGAAGGAAAAATTCCCGGAAACATAGATTTCTCTTGATGCCAGAGATCACAGGAGAATTCAACAATTTCGACCAGATGCTTGGCCTCCAAGAGGATGCGATTTAACACCGTTGGATTATTTTTTATGGGGCTATGTTAAGTCATTGGTCTATGTAAACAAACCACAATCTATTGAAAACTTGAAGAGGAACATAGAGCACACCATTCGTGAGATTAATGTGTATGTTTTGCATAAAGTGACCGAAAATTAGGTTCATCAGATTCACTCCTGCAAATGTAGTCGCGGTGAACATTTGAATGATGTGGTGTTCGAAACATAATTTTTATCTATTATATTTTCAATAAATTTTTTTTTATTTACTGCAATTTTTACCGTTTTTATTTAAAAACAAATTTGAGGACATTCTTATTGGGAGACATATTGGTGGACATTTTTATTATAATTTAAGGCATTGTTTATTATTGAAAAATTTTTAATTTCGATTATGAATATTTTCTGGAACTTCTATATTTTATGATAAATTAAAAAAAAATACATCTATTGCGGACCTGTTCCCGCATTGTGCCAAAATTTTACCTATATATTTAAAATGTATTGAAATCTATTCTTTTATTAAAAGTAAAAGAGTTGTAGACATTCACCTATTTTGAGATATAGAGTTTTGAAGATCAGTATTTTCAAAATTATGAGTTTAACTTGTGGACCTAAAACAGATGATTTCAGTAAAACCCAATGTTTTCTTTTCCCGGGTCACTTCTTGTTCTAGTGGACGGCTTATTTTCTCACTGAATATTTTTGTTTTAGATAAATCATTACAAAAAATCGATTCATCCAAATTCCATACAGTATAAAAACTGTTTTTTTAACTTTAATACCCTTTTGAGGGTACATGGTTGTTTTCTTTTTTTAAACCTAAAAAAATAGTACTCTGTCTTTAAAGGAAGTTTTCAAGTTATTTTCAGTGACAAATTGGTCAACTAGTACAAACATTTGTGATCTTGTCTTTGTATATAAAACGTATCTATACAAAATATTTGTATTTTTATATTGTTTTAATTTGCATAGAATGGGCACATAAACAGTAATACAGATATACATTTTTAAATGGTCGATAAAGAATTTTTTACTTATTATTTCAGATGGGACACATGGATGGTTTGGAAATGTTAGATCCTATATCGTCTTCGTCTATGACTACATTAACACCCATGTCTGAAACTCCAACGCATATGCATTCCTATGGAATGAATCATGTTATGAATCATCATCACCACGGAGGACCATTATCAGGTCACAGTGCTCCAGGTAAGTGAGATAGTGAAATTATAGATAAAATCTTCTTCTTTTTGTAGTGCCTGTCTACTTTGCCTTATATTTTACTTTGTAAAATTAGTTGCAGCCATCCATATCTTCCAAAATCTTCCTACTTGTATCTTCTATCTTCCAAATTTTCCTGTTAGGCCTCTTTCTATCCTTAGTCTATTGTATGTCTTCATTAAGGTCAATTTTACTAGTCTTACTCTTTTTCCTAAATTACATGTACTCTTAGGGCATGGTACAGATGCCTTGTTATCACAGAATCATACGCTTGTTTGAAATCTTTCAAGAATAGGTTTCGCTTAAACTGTTACTAGTACATACTACACTGAATTACACATTTAACACGAATAGTTTATATATAGTGGATCTGCCTTTTTTAAATCATCTATGATATTCACCAACTTGCTCGTTTAAGTTCTTTTCCAGTCTAATTCTTATGACTCTGGTAAGTGCCTTATGTATTACATCCAGAAGTGTTAACCCTATTATTTTCACATACTGCTTGATCTCTCTTCTTGTGAATGGCATTTCTCCATACTTCCGGCATTTCCTCTCGCTCCCAGATTTTCGTCAGCAGACTACATATCCGCGTTATAAGGGCTTCTCCCTCATGCTTAATACCATTGAATACCATTGCTTCCTGTATTTTTATTGTTTTTTTGTGCTATATATTATTTCTCTTATTTCTTTCATGGTAGAAGTCCCCATTATTTCCGCCATGACGTTGGCGGAAATAGCTTCCCCTACTTATCTCTTTTTCCCTTCTTTACTCTTCTAGTAATTATGTTTTCTTGCGCTTTGATTACTGCTCCTTTTTGCCTCCTGGTAGAAAATTCTCACATTTTTATTGTTATTATTGTTATTTTCTTCAATATCTTGGAACCTTTTATCTTTATGCTCCAGTTACTTCCGCCTATACACTTTTTACGTGTTTCTTCTCTCTGCTTCATATTTATTTCTATTTTTGTCACTTGGTTTGTCCATATATTTCAGTCTTGCCTTGTTTAGTTTGTTAAGGCCTTTCTTGCAATCAGCATCAAACCATTCTTGATCTCTTCCCTTCTTTACTTGACCTAACCCCTTTTAATTAGAAAATATCTTATTATTTAAAATAGTTCATAATTGATTATATCATTTCACTTACCTTTTCTTCAGTAAACAGACGTTAAAACTGATTATTAAAAGGCAATGGCTCTGTAGTTTTCTGGGTGTATTTTTTTCATCAAATATATCATTTAATGGCACACATTTGTCTTTTCTTTATTTAATTTTCTTGTTTTTGTTCAAGGTCATCATCCAGGTCATCACGGCGGTCACCCTGGAGCACATCACCCGGCGATGGCAGCGGCAGCTGCAGCCGCGGCAGTCGCTGGACTCCATCCCGATGCCGACACAGACCCCAGAGAATTGGAAGCCTTCGCCGAGAGGTTTAAACAGAGGAGGATCAAGCTGGGGGTCACTCAGGCCGACGTAGGTAAGTTACAAGGCAAGTTCGGATTCAATTGTTTTTATTATTATGAATCATAAGTTGACGTCACAAATGAATAAAAAGGCTTATTCAGGATATAAATATTAATAAAATATTTTTCTTGTTATTTTTTGTATAATCAAAAAAAATAAAATATTATGTTTGAATGAATCTGTTCTTGTCTACTCTCGGATAGTTCCTTGTGGACAAAAACTTGTAATATCTTATTTGTAAAAGTTTGTTATATTGTACAGTGTTCTTTATGACGTTTTATTGTACTTTGATCTATTTGTTCTCGTTATATGATTCTTAATTGTTTAAAATGTTCCTCTTATTTTTTTAACTTAAATATATAGCTTTTATTTTAGTGTTTTTCTCTACAAATATTGTTTAAATGATAAACCAAACACATTATCCCTGTCTGTCCCTATTAAAAAATTATAGCGGCTTATAAGTTTAATAATGCAAATAACGAATTATTTAAACTCCATTTAACTAAAGTTTTGGCTTGGAAAATAGAAGCTGTCTTTAAAAAAAAACAACTAATTAATATGTTGTTGGTCAAATTTTATTGTATCGTGACAGTTAAACTCCCTTCTTGCTAATTCCATAACCAATCATGAGGAAACCCAGTAACAATTTATGATGATATTCAATACTAACTATTTCCTTATTTCTTATTCCTTATTAAATTCCCTTATTTATCTCTTATTTAATTTAATCATTGATTTTTTTGTCACTTCGCTTTCTTGCATTCTAGTATCAAGTTCTTGCTGAATAGCTCTAATCTATTATTTATATTAATCTATCTATTTATTAAAATTATGGCTAACACTTTGTACGCTGCATCTAAGAGTTTGCGTGTAATATTGGTCATATAACAACCCCTATATTCTAATCAATTTTTACTTGATTCCTTTATGGGCCTTGCATTATTGAATAATAGGTTTTTTTTGTTTTTATTTTTTTAATGCATTTTCAAAGATAACAAGGGAATATTATAGTGACCTTTTTATCAAGATCTAGAACGAATCTATGACTCAATACCAGGAAACGACATTAAAATGGTGATAGGTGACACAAACGCCAAAATCGGAAAAGAAGAAGAGTACATAGGGGTAATAGGGAAACATAGTCTGCATAGAGAGACAAATGAGAATGGTCAGTTTCTAATAGACTTCGCAGCTGGAAAGAATATGGTTATCAGTTCGACCTGCTTCCCACATCGGGACATACATAAGGGCACTTGGATATCACCTGACGGAAACACAGTCAATCAAATAGACCACGTACTGGTTGAAAGAAGAATGGCCACAAGTATATTAGATGTAAAAAGTAGGCGTGGAGCAAGCTGTGACTCCGACCATCTACTAGTACAGATACGGTTCAGATGTAAAATCAGTCGACAAGCAAAGGAAAAATATCCGAAACAAGAAAAACTAAACTTAGATAACCTAAAAGTCTCTGAGGTACAAGAAAGATTTGAGAGAACAGTGAGTGAAAAATTACTAGAAGAAAACATAGAAGAATTCACAATAGAAAATCATTGGAACACCATAAGCACTATCATACTAAATAAATGAATGAATGAATGAATAAAAGACGAAGAGCTGATAAACTATGCAGACAGAAAAAGAGACGGTACGAAAACAACCGGATACTAAACATAGAGAGGGCGTTCAAGGAAAACGAAACACGCAGTGCATACCAACTTATCAAACATTTAAGACAGGGTTACAAAAATAAGAATGGCGAAATAATTAGCGATATGGACGAAATTAAGAGAACCTGGATGATGTATTTTAAGGAATTATTAAACGAAAGGGCACAAACACCATTACAACAGCGGCAGCAGCAGGTAGAACAGGAAGTTCAACAACAGGAGCTGTGGGAAGATGGAGAAGATAATGAATTGGCTAGACCTCCAACACTAGAGGAGGTTCGAACAGCAATCCAAATGCAAAAAAGCCATAAAGCGCCGGGAATAGATAAGATACCGGCAGAACTGTTCAAGCAGGGAGGAACAAATTTGACAGAACAGATGTACCAGCTTATACAAGAAATATGGAGAGAAGAAAAAATCCCACAACAATGGAAGAAAAGTATAATCTGCCCTATTCATAAAAAAGGAGACAAACTGTTATGCCAGAATTATAGAGGCATCTCTTTACTTTGTTCGGGATACAAAATACTCACAAACATTCTTAATCGAAGACTTACTCCTCACTGAAAAAATTATCGGGGAATATCAAGCAGGGTTCAGGCAAAATAGATCTACTATTGACTAACTATTTACAGTTAAACAAATACTAGCCAAAGCATGGGAATATGACATAGACGTCTACAATCTCTTTGTAGATTTCAAGCAAGCCTATGATTCAATAGATAGAACAATACTAACTAATATATTACAAGAATTTGGCATACCATCAAAATTAATAAGACTAGTGCAAATGACAATGACAGAAACAGAAGCACATGTATGTATTCAAGGACAGATCACTGATGCGTTTATGACAACGCAAGGACTGAAACAAGGTGATGGACTGGCTCCAACACTTTTTAATCTTGTTCTTGAATATGTAATTAGACGGTTGACGGTGAGCAGAAATAACATACTTACAAACAAATCTACCCAATTAGCAGCATACGCAGATGACATAAACATAATGAGCAGAACAAAGACTGCGGCAGAAGAAACCTACGTTCAGTTGAAACAGAGTTCAGAAGTTGTAGGGCTAACAATAAATACAAATAAAACAAAACTACTCATACAAACCAGATCAAATAGACAGGCGCAACAACAACAATTTATAGACGATATAGAATACGTGAATAGATTCACGTATTTAGGAATGGATCTGGTCGAAAATAATGAAGAAGAACCGGAAATAAATAGAAGGCTTATGCTGGCAAACAAAGCCTATTTCGCGATGGGCCACATATTAAAATCGCGAGACGTACACCAGAAAACAAAATTCCGGGTATATAAAACAATAATCCGACCCATAGTAAGTTATGGGTGTGAAACATGGGTTATAACACAGAAATCTACCAATGCATTAGACGTGTTCGAAAGAAAAATATTGCGTAGAATACTGGGTCCAATAAAGGAAAATAACAACTGGCGAATTAGATATAATAACGAAATATACGAACAATACACTGAACCAACAATAGCACAATACACTAGACTGCAGAGATTACGATGGGCAGGGCATGTGGCCCGCATGCATGAGAACAGGATCCCCAGAAAATTACTAAACGCAAGAATGCAAGGAAAAAGACCTGTTGGAAGACCAAAAAAGAGATGGGAAGACGAGGTAGATGAGGATGCCAAAAATCTCCTAAAAACGCGTTCATGGAAAAGAACAGCAGTAAATAGAGATGTTTGGAGAGGTTTAATGAAGGAGGCCAAGGCCCGGCTTGGGCTGTAGTGCCATTGGATGGATTATAGTGACGTCTACAGCTCTAAAAACAGTCCACCTGATACAACTCAATAAAACCTGAAAAAGAAAATAATAAATGTAATCTCTGAAATATTACCCCACATAACCGGAGATGAAATTCTAATTGAAATGTTAAAAGAAGGAGGGGAAAAGATAAAAGACTACCTAAAGATACTTTTTAATAGATGTTTGTTTAAAGGACAAATACTATAGACTAACTATAAATCGCTAACTATAGACCAATATCTCTCTTGTCACAAATCTATAAAACTTTTACTAAGGTGATCACAACTAGACTAAACAACAAATTTGATGCATACCAACCAGTTGAGCAGGCAGGATTTAGAAAGAGGTGTGAAACAACTACAACATACAACCGACCACCTTCACACTCTTAAAATATTGATAGAAAAGACCAACGAATACAACCTTCCAATATACCTAGCGTTTGTTGACTATGAAAAAGCATTTGACAGCATAGAACTATGGGCAGTGAAAGAAGCGCTAGTTAATTGCCGAATAGATTCACGGTACAGAATTTTAATCTACAATATACATCAAAACGCCACTATGAGATTTGCAAACTCCATTAATTAGAATTTGTAGAGGTGCCCGACAAGGGGATACAATCTCACCCAAACTATTTACTCTGGCGTTGAAAGACATTTTTAAATCTATAGACTGGGGCAATAAAGGGATTTGTATAAAAGGGAAATATTTAAATGATCTAATATTCGCCGATGATGTACTCCTGATAGCAACACCTATGAAACAACTACGACTAATGATTTCGGACCTAGAAAAAACATCTCTTGAGAAAGGACTAAAAATGAATCTAAAGAAAACTAAAACAATGAATAATACAGAATATAGATCAGTAATTACCATAGGTGGAACAAACATAGAACACGTCTAAGAATATATTTACTTAGGAGAAGCTATCAAAGCAGAAAAAAGTAACCATACTGAAGAAATAAACAGAAGAATAAGAATGGGATAAGCTGCATTCGGAAATCTCTCATATACTATCAAAATCCAAAAAATACCTTTAAAATTAAGATTGAAGGTATTTAATGCATGTGCACTACCTGTTCTGACATATGGTGCGCAGACGTGGACGTGGACCAAGAGCAACTTACATGGAATAAAGAAAACTCAAAGAGCTATGGAAAGACAAATGTGAATATCGTTGAGAGATAAAAAAAGGAACGAGTGAATAGGATGCAAAACCGAAACAACAGCGCTGTCGAACATGCATTAAAATTAAAATGGAAATGGGCTGGGTATAACGAAAGATATCAGGATGGAAGATGGAATAAAGAAATTTTCCGCTGAAGACCATAAACTGCAAAAAGATCAAAAGGTCGACGGCAAATGAAATGGAAAGATGGAAAGATAAAAAGAAAAGAAAGATAGATAGATAAAATGCATTTTCTGCTGCTTTTATAATAGTTTTTTTATGGAATATCATTTACGATATATGTATTATGTATTTCTTACACCTATTATACTTCTAGTATGCATTCCATCGATAAAGTTTTTTATTATTTAATATCGTATGGTTTAATTTACATGTAACTCTATGGGTTTTTTTCTGGCAAATTGGGTGCTTTTGATATTAAGGCCAACCTGTCCTAAAATCAATCAAAGGTAATCAACTGCCACCGATATTATGTACTCTTTTTTGCCTATTTTTTTTTAGGGCATTTAAGTTGCCTAATATTATTTTGATTGATTAAGAGCTTGTATATATAATTAATATAGAGAGTTGTAAAATTCTTTATCGTCCTGTGAAATGAACTGTTCTGGCGGATAAACAAAAAATATAGTCAAATTGGCCCATTATCCCTTATTATTACAATCCTTATATTCTTTTAGAAATTGTATTGAAGACTTTGGCTGGGGTTTTTTAATTGTTACAAAGCAATTGTCATTTTTTAACGGAAGGTATATAAAAATTTGGTGAAAATTCAAAATAATGCTTGTCTGTCATTAAAATATAATATAAAGTCCTCTCTCTATAACAGAGAGAGACAAAATTCGGTACTGTAATATTAATAATACTGTAATAAATAACCTATTTTAATTTAAAAAATTATTAAAACGAATCTAAATGAATTAGCATTGTATTCCACATAGATTTATTAACGAAAAATATAAGCAATACGGTATAAAAAATGACTGTACAATTAAAACATGTGTACTGTACAATAAAAAAAAAATAGAATGCTACTGTAAAATATATTTAGCCTACATTATCAAAAAACTCTGTCACCTTGGTCTGTCTTCTTTTCCCTTTCCACAGAACTGACCTGACCTTGTCCTGAAGACGCATCGAATCTTCCACAGCACTCATATCGTCTTCCTCGTGGATGAAAAATCGATGCACTACTTTTGCCGTATCCAAATTCCACTTTAGAGTCACTGTTTTCTTCTTCTTCTACACGAACTGCTTGCAGGATGTCCTCGTCAGAAAGTCCAGATGTTGTAGCTACATTTTTATTAACTTCTTTAAAATCTGTTAGCTCTTCCGGTCCGTAGGTGATAGTAAGTTCAAACTGTCTGACCCAAACATCTAACGGCAGGTCATCTTCATCATAAGTCAATCCTTGATCTTCCAGCCATCCTGCGTGTTTGAAGGAATGTTGTATTGTATTGCTCGTCACCTCGTCCCAGGATTTACTAATCATTAGGATGGCGTCAAGAATGTTTAGTTTAAAATCGCTATTATTCTCAACCAATTCCATCAAAAGTCTTCTCCTATATTGGTTTTTCAAACTCTTGATGACACTTTGGTTCATGGGCTAAAATATACTTGTTGTGTTTGCTGGCAGAAAACAGAGTTCGACGTTTTGAAGATCGCGCAATACAGGATGAGCAGGAAAATTGTCTACAAGCAAAAGAATTTTTTTTCCTTTAAGCTCGATATCCCACTTTCTTATCGCTTATTCAAAAATTTTCGAGGTCATCCACGCACTCTTGTTTGCTTTATATGTCACCGGTAGATTTTTTATGTTTTTAAAGCAACGCGAGTTTTTCGACTTCCCTATCACTAACAATTTTCGCTTCACCGAACCTGTCATGTTAGCGGCTACTTAAGCTGTAATGCGTTCCTTAGAGAGCTTTCCACCAACGCACTTTTCCAATTTAAATTTTAGAGTTCTGTTGGGTGTTATATTTAAAAACAATCTGACTGACGTATATCGTGCCTTCAGTCCAGGCCACACGTTTTTTAGCCAATGATCCGTTACGTTTTTGTTAATATCGTGAGCCACTCCGCTGATTTGCCCGTAGTTGATCTTGTGCCGCATCTTCCACTTACTCAGTTAACCCTCAGATGCCTTAAAATTCTCAAGTCCAAGTTCAGTTGCAAAAAATTCAGCTTTTGTCCTGACCACAGGCCCAGAAAGTGGAATATGGTTCATACGCTGCTGCTGGAACCACTGAAGCATAGCGCGATCTAAATCTTCGTGCTAAGGTTTCCGCAACTTCTTCCTGCTACCGCCCTCTGTCACCGCTTTAAGCCACTTTTTTCTGTCCTCTAAGACACAACTCAAACTGGAAATGAAAAGTCGTCAATAGATGACATCTGTGTGATAACAGTTAGTTACGCCGCCCGAACAATAAACGTGAGTCACTTAATCCTCTGATAAGAAAGAGTATAGGCCGCATCACTTAAGCGCAAAATAAAACAACCGCTTGACAATGACCTTGCCACTAGTGACTCAGATAGTCTGAACTTGAACGATATCGGTATAGAGAAAGAATTAATACATTGTTCTTATGACGAACCAACCAACGTTTACTATTTTCACTGTTATAAAGGAATTATCGTTATATAGGGAATCGTTATAGAGAGAGACTACTGTATTATTATTCACTCACATTTTTATTTATAATTAGAATTTAAAATGTACCATTGCGTGGATGTTTCAACTTATGATTAAGAATATAACAATGACCGGTGTATCCAAACTAGTCGACTCATAAACCTTTATTCTTGCAGGTAAAGCCTTGGCAAATCTAAAACTTCCAGGAGTAGGAGCCCTCTCCCAGTCGACGATCTGCAGGTTCGAATCTCTAACTCTCTCCCACAACAACATGATAGCGCTCAAGCCGATCCTCCAAGCATGGCTGGAGGAAGCCGAGGCGCAGGCCAAAAACAAAAGACGTGATCCGGACGCTCCTAGTGTCCTTCCGGCCGGCGAAAAAAAGCGTAAAAGGACTTCAATCGCGGCGCCAGAAAAACGCAGTTTAGAGGCGTATTTCGCAGTGCAACCGCGTCCGTCTGGCGAAAAAATCGCCGCGATCGCCGAGAAATTAGACTTGAAAAAGAACGTCGTCAGGGTTTGGTTCTGTAACCAGCGACAAAAGCAGAAGAGGATGAAGTTTGCGGCGCAACACTGACCGGAAGTAAATTTCGGGTTTCCTGTAAATTAGTGATATAGTGTGATTAACAATATTCTTCATGGAACGCGCTAAACTGTGCGTGAACGCATCACATGATGCAAAGAAGGAGCTTCTTGTGTAAAATACCGCATGTGGAGATAAAATTATACCAATCTTTATCATAAAAGGTGTAATTTTAAAAAGTATTAACACAGATTCTCAATATATTTATTAACTATTTTAATAACTAAGGAAAAAAAGTTTTATTTTGTTTAAAATAATTTTATATATATGCTTTAAAGAGCGATATTATTTTAGTTATTTTTGTTTTTCTTAATAAAAATGTTACGTGGCTATAAAATATGATATATTCCTATTCTGTTTACTTTATTTTGCTTTTGCCATTTCATGGAAAGCAGATTTTCCCCTTTTCTCTCGACTCTTGCTCTACCCTTTAATTCTTTAATTAATTATCTTACTTTGATTTTAATATAGATATATTTAAAGTTTTATTTGGTTTAAGTCTAGTTTTTAGTCTTGTGAAAACTGTTTACCTATTTTCTAAAAATTCATTCGCCCACTTAAGTTCCTTCTGTAGACAATGAAGTGTTATCTTTTTTGCCAATTCAAAACAGCCGCTTTCGGCAATACACTATTTTAATTTATCTCTTAAAAGACCAAAATACGGTAATATGGAATGAAGATCAGTTGTTTTCTTTTTAAAGTGCCATCAGTAGATGATCTACCTTAGTTTCGTGCCAAATATTTGGTGAACGCGCATTTGTCGTCACTACTTTGTAAACGGTGACTATAAGCTGAAATTGCCCTGATTTGTTTTAGACTACTGATACCCATTATAATGTTGACGTAAAATGCCAAAGTAACTTTTAGTATTTGTTTTTAATTTTGGTATTATAATAGTGCTCTCACGTAGAGAAAATTGGTGTTTAAATATATTGAGTACTGTTGTTTTAAGATTATCTCACACAATCATTTGTATGTCTCTTACGCGGGAAGCCATATTTGTATTCTTACTTGATAGTGAATGTGTATAGTCGGATGCTCAATGCCGCAGATATTCGGACTTTGGCGTAACGATTAGTAAACATGTGCCGGATGTGACTCTGTCGGTAAAAGGACCTTTTTAGTCTAAACCAAACTCTACAAAAAGTCTTTACGTGCACCAGGTTAAATACAGATGAGTTATTTTATTAACTTATTACCTATTACAAATAAGTAGTAGAATATTAAATTAGTCATTGTATAATTAATCAACTGGAACTAGAACTATGGTTGGCTCAAATTGGGAAAAAAAATTTTCTCTTATATAATTTTCTCTCTGTATAAAATCGTTTATATTAAAACTCTTAAAAAGTGGATTTGTGTTAAATCTGCAGAATTAGTATTTGTTATTATGTCATTTGGTACATTAATTGTTACTGATAGTACTAACTTCTCTTGATAATAATAAATACGATTTTAACGCTAAAGTTGGGAATCCCTCGAAAATAATATTGAGGAGTTTTGGATGCGAAAGTAGAAATGATAGAGGCAAACAACTGTTAACTTTTCCTTTGTAAAACAATATCTATTAAATAAACAGCTTTTTTTAAAAAAAGAAGAACACAGAAGGTGATGCACATGGAAAAGCTCTGATGGAAAGACAAGGTACGTATTTAAAAAAATATATTTAAATACGTAACTGTCTCACAACAGTTTATTACAAACAGTGATCGTAGGTAATTAACAGCAAAATTTACGATAGTCACTGAAAAAGAAAGACTCAAGCTGATAAACAAGAAACAACCAAAGAAATGGACATATGGAAACGTAGAGGATGGGGCACTTGACACAGTCGGTCAAAGTCCATTCTGACATCACTGTCGGTAAGCGTTGCATCTGCATTACCGACCGAGTCTGAACCTTAGCCAAGACCGGAACCATTTGTCAACTGTTAATTCTTCTTCATTTTCTTATCTATAGTCAACTGTCAATTCTTCTTCGTCTATCAAAGACGGGACAGAAGGAGTAGAGGAGGGGGCACTTGAGACAAACGTCAAAGTCTATTCTGACGTCACTGTTGGTAAGCGTTAAATCTGCATTACTGGTAGAGCATGAACCTTAGAAAAGACTAAAAGCATTTGTCAACTGTCAATTCTTCTTCTTTTTCGGAGCTAATGTGCGAACAAAGCTACCGACCAATGAGAACAAAGTCCCGTCCACCGACGCAAGAGATATGACACAAGCATGACAGACATATTTAGCTGTTTAACGATTTTAGACTGTAACATGTGTGGAACACGACTAAAAAAGCTGATATTGTACATAGGTTTCCGGTAAGAACTTCTTTCATTTTTGTAAAGACAGATTAAAAATAATAGTTCAAGAGTTCTGCACAGAGCTATATAGATCAAGATAAAAAGATAACAATATGCAACCTCCAATTACAGTAAAAACTGAGGTAATAAACCAAGGATCATATTATTTAATGTCCGATATAACAAAATCGAAATTTAAAAAGGCTTTGAGAAAAATGCCAATTTCCCAACACATTGAAACAACGGTACTATGATTCTATTACAAAAAGCAGAAGAAAAAGCAAATTCAGAGAATTACATTTATATATAAAGAAACAAACTTTGTTTAATTTAATAATATGATTCTGAAAAAGTTACGGTAGGTTATTATAAAAACCCTAAAGTGGAAACAATAAACTTTTAGTGGTAATATGTTTTGATTGTGACAAAGCCTTTGACACAATTAAGCTAAGCAAAATACTGCAGGCGCTTTAATAATGCAGGCTAGATTATAGGTATACAAGATTATTATACAATATATACCGTCAACAACCACTGTCAGATAACATATTAATAGAACATAAAAATATAGCGGGGGATTAGAAAAGTAGACCCAATGTCACTTTTAAATCGGTGCTAAAACATGCCTCTAACAATTTGGAATGACTGACAAAGGAAAAAAATAAATGGATAAATAACTTACTCCGAAGAAGAAAGTATTTAATCAATGCGTTCTTCCAGTATTTACATCTGAAGAAAAAATACTTTCCCTAACAAAACCCTCGGATACCAAACTGAGAGTCACGCAGAAAAGAATTTAGAAATAACTCTGCAAGACAAAATACAATACGAAAATATTAGGAGAAAAACCAAGATAATCGAAATGATATCCAGACTAAAATCCTAGATGACCATAAATGACTTTTCGTGGAAGAAACTTATGTTAAAAACTAAAAACTAAACATTTTTTATTTTAGTAAAGATTATCCACTACTACTGGTTTGTAATTCTCATTATCATCAACATCATCAACCTGTATGCGTCCACTGCTAGACAAAGGTGTCCCTTACCTCTTTCCATCTGGCTCTATCTTCTGGAATGCATCCAGTTGCTGCTAACACGCTTCCGATATTCAGTCCATCTGGTTGGTGGTCGTCCTCTGATCTGTTGTGAATCTTGTTTTGACCTATACTAAATTATACGTTTTCTCCACCCGTTTTCTGATAATTAGGGGACTTGTCCTACCTAATTCCATTTTAGTGGTTCGATTTTTTCGGTAGTGTTTGTTGTTGCTATTCTACGATCTGAGGAGACACCCAACATCTGGCGCTCCATAGATCTCAGAGTGACGCGAATCTTGTTCACTACCTTTTTTTGTAAGCGCTTATGTTTTCTTTCCATAAGTGAGTAGTTATAGGTAATATATACTGGCCAAAGATTTAAGTGTTAAGGCAATGGGTAGGTTTATTTGCCCAATGTTGTCCAGGCTAATCTATGCGATTATGCTTGTGTTATGCGACAGAGTGGCATACATGTCTGGTTATCTCTGTCCAACCGAATTTTATGTCCTAAGTACTAACGATGTGGTTTGTTTGCTCAATATTGCTTTTAACAGCAATATTTCTATTTAGCATCTTAAACTTTTTTCCGACTTCCAAGGAAGCGTGATATAATTTTTCACGAAATGCAATTATTGTTGCATCATCCACACGATTGACTATAAGGGCTATGTTATTTGCGAATCTCAAACGACTGAGATTTTTTCCATTTGTGTTGATTCCAAACTCGTTCGGATCTGCCCTTTTACAAGTATGTTTAAAAAGCGTCGTGAATAACTTTGTTAAGACGATGTCTTCTTGCCGTACTCCTCACTATATACAAAATTTATTTGTTTAATGTTCAGATAGTCTTACGCTAGTTGTGACATTTTGGTAGATATATTTGATTTTGCTACGATGGTCTACTCTGAATTTTGTCAATGGTTTTAATATTTTCTGCTGGCTTATGGTATCGAATTCTTCTTCGAAGTCCACGAATATCAGTGCCAATGGTTTGTTGTATTCTTCAGACTCCTTTATCAGGTTCTTTATCCAATAGAAAATAAGAAAAAAAGTATAGAGTTTTGTGGAAAGTATATATATATATATTATATATATATATATATATATATATATATATATATATTATATATATATATATATATATATATATGCATCATAGCAAACTAATATTACGATAGTTTTTTAGATCTGTTATGTCTCCTTTCGTGTATAATAAATCAATGAATACATTGTTTCATTAAAAAGAAGTTTGTAGTATGATTCTCAAAATTACAGTTTAATAAGTTAGCATCGATTGCAAGGGACCCTTTTAGCAAACCAAATAAATTTTATAAGATTAATAATATTTGTATAGGTAATTGAAATTAGTATTCTTTCTGTTCAAGTTATTAAAATTAATATCTTCTGTTTAACATGGTTGCTAAACAAAGACTTTAAGAGTATGGTTTTATACTATATTGCTTCTGAACCCATTTCGCCAGTTCCGATAATGCTCAAAGCACTGTACATACTAGTCAACACGGGTACCTTGATAAGATTTTTGCTTAAAAACAGTTTTTACAGCATTTATAATTTAAAATATAAATCCAGCTTT